TATATATATATATATATATATATATATATATATATACACACACACACACAGTTCAAAAGTTTGGGATCTTCAAGACTGCGTCTGTTCTGCTCATAAAGGGTGCATTTATGTGAAAAATACAATAAAGTCAGTAAAATTGTGAAAAATTATTACAATTTAAAATAACCGTTTTCTATTTGAATATATTTTAAAATGTAATTTAATCATGTGATCAAAGCTGAATTTTCTGCATCATTACTCCAGTCTTCAGTGTCACATGATCCTTCAGAAATCATTCTAATATACTGATTTAATGTTCAAGATACATTTCTTCTTATTATTGATGTTTACAGTTCTGCTGCTCAATATTTTTGTGGAAACTGTAATACATTATTTTATTTTTCAGGTTTCTCTGTTAAATAGGATGTTTAAAAACAGCATTAATTTGAAATTAATATATAAAATAAAATAAAAGTGGTTGGATAAGTAGTTTGGAGAATGGATCAAAATAATAAAATTAATTAAAATTAATTAACTATCTGTCCACGGTGCCCCCCTCCCCCCATACATACAATCAAAATAAAACAATAAAATACATAAAAAATAAATTAAAATTAAATAGCCAGAGACCCCAAACTTTTTAACTATAATGTGTATATTCTAAAAAAAAAATAGTTCTCTGTGTTTATGTGCTGTGTGTGTGTGTGTGTGTGTGTGTGTCCTTGCACAAAGCACAAAGTAACTCTGGGCCTGCAGCGTTTGGGTGTGAAGGCCTTCGGGTGAACAGCTCCCCAAAGCTGACATTGACTTAGAACGCAAATGACATTAAAATCCATCAAACAAAGCCCTGCACTTTTCCTGAAGTTCAAACAAACAGGCTTCTCTAGGGGTACCAAACAAATCTGTCAGTCTAGAGAGAAAAACCTCAGAATTAAAATCAAAATCCCTCCCTTGCTCCCCAGACTGCAGTTAAATAGGCAATGACTTTTTATGTTCCATTATTATTTATTTATAACATCTATCTATCTATCTATCTATCTATCTGTCTGAATCTAAACTACCTAAAGTTTAGTAATTTATGTATTTATTTTTAATAGAAAACAGAATCAATTGTAGAATGCATCTCTTATAAGAACAGATTGCCCAAAATAAATAAAAATTGTCTAACTAATCTAATGAACATCATGAAAATGAATAAACTTGTGAAAATACAAAAATGTATTTAAAATTATTTAGAAAATTATTTAAAAGAACCATAAAAATAGTCCATATTCTACATCATATTCATATTCGAATTAATCTAATCTAAATTTAAGTCTTTCAGAATATATATATATATATATATATATATATATATATAGATAGTGTATTTTTATTAGAATTTTAATATTTCACCCTCATTTTCTTTAATAAATCTATTTTTCCCTTTACACAAACTAAAAATTTTTTTTTATTAAAACTACAATTTTTAATCCCAGGGCCATTTATCTATGAAATTATAGTCTTTCATAATAGGCTTTCCTTCTGATGGCAAGGCTTCAAAATTTAAATGTTAATTTCACTTTTTTTTTCTTCTAGATAGTTCCATTTTCTCAGGTTTAGCCTATAAATCAAATACTCACTTTTTTGGTACTGGAGCAAAACAAAATCTTACTAAAAGCTCATTTTTTGAGATATCAAGCTCAAATTTGTTCAGATTTACAGCTTTGATTTTCCAGCTATTTTTAATTAATTAACTATCTGTCCACGGTGCCCCCCTCCCCCCATACATACAATCAAAATAAAACAATAAAATACATAAAAAATAAATTAAAATTAAATAGCCAGAGACCCCAAACTTTTTAACTATAATGTGTATATTCTAAAAAAAAAATAGCTAACCATTCAAAAAAACATTAAAATCCTACATTCACATTCCTTCAGTTAATAATTTATGAAAATGATAAATGTATTTATTTTTTTATGTAAATTATTTATATTAAGTTTTTTTCATTACTATTCATTTTTTATTATTATTTATAGAATTTGCATGCATTTTATGTAAAAATACTACTGCGGCACACATTAATATTTATATCCAAACTGTGTGGGATAAGTTAAATGCCAGCGTTTAATATGTAAGGTTAGGGGTTTGTTCAAATATGAGCAATAAAAACAGTGAAACCTGCATTTGCAAACATCATTTGAAATCCCACAGCTTCATAAATTCTCCCACCTACAACATCAACACATAAAAACACGGTCTCATTATCTGAAAGAGTGATTCAACACCTCCATCATTGCAGCAGAGATGCCACAGACTCGTGTCTTTACACGCTGAATCGTGTGGAAATAATGACCAGCAGACCTTGATTTAACAGATCACTCCAGCAAACACTTGCTCACTCCAGCTGTACAGAGCAAAGCATTCAGCTCGACACCAGCTGAGGGAGACGGAAAACACACACCGGTCTGGCTGCGTACTCTTTCACAAGCCAGAAAAATATATACGGTAACAAAGCTGAGAACCTAAGAAGATAAACAGATGTAAGATTTAAAATAATGTCAGCGTAAAAGCCCTGTGTGCTGCAGGTGAAGTCGTTTAAGGCAAGAGTGGTAATCCCCTGGCTTTTTCTAATATAAAACCAAACATGTTCACAGGCTTTGAGTACGAAATGTTCAAAAAAGACACTAAAGCAAGATAGTGACAGCACGACATGCTTTTAGAGATACCAGAAGACTCCGTTTTGATTTATTTTATAAAAGTGCAAATTTAAATGACTATTAATGCAAATCACTGCTTTGGAAGACAAATTAAGCTTGTTTGATTAAAATCTTTCAGTGTTCTAGTGTGAACACATTTCTTTAATGAATGAAATAATCATTGCATGTGCAGTCAAGGGCACATCGTGCTCCATTTTTACAAAAAAAAGAAAAGAAATAAATCTCAATTTTTGCCACAATGCAGAAGGAAAGCATTTAATGTCTGACTAAGCAGAGAATTTGAGCTGACAAACTCCTGCAGGTCATGAGATGGCACACAGAATTCTTTATGTGCCCTACTGCAGGGTGCAGTAAAAAAAATAAAATAAAATAAAATAAAATAAAATAAAATAAAATAAAATGTCCATGGTGTGTTCTGGATAAGTGGTTTGGAGCATGGAAAAAATAAAATAAAAAATAATATAAAATTAAAATAAAAAAATAAAAAATTAACCATAAAATAAAATAAATTAAAATAAACAATTTGTCCGCTGTGACCCTATAGAGGATAAGCAGTTTGCAGGATGGATGGATAGATGGTAATGAGATAATAATAAAAATAGTGCATAATAACAGCCTAAACGTACTGACAAACATCCCTTTTTTTGTTCCACAGAAGAAAGAAAACCATGAAGGTAAATGATGACAGACTTTTCATTTTTGGGTGAGCCACCCCAGCAACGGTGGACAAACTGCAATGGATGTTCATTACAAAGGGATTACAAGCGAGCGAGCATGTAAATCCTAGTGTTATGCAAAGGGAAAGGATTTGTTTCTTCCTCTTTTATTCGTCCTCTTCATTTACTGAATGAAATCCTCAAAAGGAAAACGAGGAGTCTGTTTTGAATCGTGTGAAATGCAGATGTCCTCTGCTGAACCGCCACGGAGGACTCGACTCTGTATCTTCCAGAAAACACACACGCGCTCAAGGCCACAGAGAGAGTGTGCGATTCAGAAGACGCATGTGGAAGCCGTTCAACTGGCTGTCTGAACCAGAATGCCTCTTTCACACCAGCCATCTGTGAGTTTACCACCGACATCCATTATAGCTACACTCTAGGAGAAGCAAAATGATATGCGCCTCCAGAAAACGTCTGAGAAACGAGCTGTTTGCTGTAGCACCGGGTCAAAGAAGCACAGGATCCGGCTCGCCAAGACTTAATCAAACCAAACACCAGCACTGGGGAAGATCCAGAAAACATCAGTCGCAGTCTGCAGATAAGACTGTTTCTACAGACGGTCCAGTCGCCTTCCCAAACGAAATTTTAGGACATGCTTGAGATAGCAGGTGCAAATTCAGACAAACGAACACCTACTGTTCCAGATGTGAATGGAAATTCAGCTTCATTGAGCGTATTCAGAGTACACCTTCTTGAAGTCACTGATAAATTGGCAAATCCATCCGAAAACTTCTTGGGAGTCTTGATCCAAAGGCTCTCCGAATTTTATCTGTGGAAGAAAAAGAAACCAAATGAACAGTGATATTGTTTATTCACACAGAACAATAAAAACTATTTCATCTTGTAATTGTTAATGTTTAATTGAAAGTCAAAATATAAATATAAATATTTTTCTATATATTGTGTAAATATTAGTGCTGT